AATACAGAGTAGTCGCTCTACCTTGAGCAATAGCCCGTTTCAGCGCAACACGTCATATAGCACTTCGTGCCATACTTATGCGGTTTGTCCTTGTTGTAAACTCGGATAGGATTGGACTGACTTCTATTGGGGATCGTGCCTTCGTCGAAACTCACTTTAGCGCCCATCCGATATCCCCGGCGGAACGTCGTCTCGATGGTTTGCAAGATCGGCCGCACTTTCCACGCCTTATCACCTAACGCTGGAACTGTTGTACCGCTGGCAAAGTGGAGGAACCGAGTGATCATATTGAAGCGTTCGCGTTTCATGTACCGCCCAAACGTCCTACGAGGCACCGCACCGTCGTCGCGTGTTGACCAGTGCTTACTCAAGCCATCGGTATGTCCACACAGTGTCCTAGCCACGAGAAGGCCAACGACATGAATTATTTCATGAACTTGCACGGGTTTCACTCTCGGCAGCTTTGCCTTGATCTCTTCTAGTGACTGCACTTGTTTTTGCGGGTCTCTATCGTGAGCTGCAAGCTGACGAAGTCGATTTTTTTCGGCGATACTTGGAATACAATGCAGGCGATACGCATTGGTTTCGTCGGTGATGCGCACCCACAGAGCTTTTGGCAGGAAGTAGAAAAACATACCAAGAGGCGAGGCAGCAAAAGCAGCAGCTGACTTGGTAGGCCCAAATGTGCCATTGTAGAGATCGTCAGCACTGTCCAGCTGTAGCTCACCTGTATTCAGTGCCATTTAGAATAAGTTAGCTCAAATACATCAATTCTGTAGCATACAGATTTACCGCTGTGGTTCTCATCATACAACTTCCAGCCGGACAGTCCGAGCTGGCGCATGGCATCATCATCTTGTCGAAATAGCTCGATCTCATCTTCGAATTCGGTGTCCGACTCGATTTCCCTCTCGTACTCAACACAAACTGCTGATGGTGGGGCAACTGCGTCATCTTCGTCGTCACTTTCTCCGTCGTCTGGAAATGGCTCCGAAGATACGTTGATATCGTCCGTCGCTAAGGGACCGAACAATACCTCCGTACGCATGGCGTCGATAAAACCTTCGGATTCAAAGGCATCCACACCAATGTGACGACCACTCTCGCTTGAATTGACACTGGTGTCCAGCTCTGGATCCTCCGGAATACACGCGTTGTCGCTACCTTGTTTAGTATACTCCAGATTAGATCCTTCACCTGATGAATGGGTGGCTTCCTCATCAGGGGAACGTGCCGCTGGACTTGAAACCGCTTCAGTAGTATCTGCAGCCGCCATCGTCAAAGGTGAGGCTCGTTGGGTAGCGTCGGCTTGATTTGCCAGAGTTCCAGCGGGGGCTTCGCTTGCAGCAGCAGCTTGAGTCGTCGGGGTTTCAATGAGCACTCGAGCGGACGCAGCAGCAAGTTTTTTCGGTGGGGGAAGCGGTAATTTCAGCTCAAGCATTCCCTCAGTCCGAGCAAACATCATAAGCTCGTTTTCTCCTACGCCAAATTAAGTTATTTAGTCTATGAAGGACTTTAGATAGCAATTGAGCGCTAACTTACCAACAAAGTGGTCAACGCGGCGCTGTGCTGCATCTAAGCTGCGAGCGACACCAGGCTTCACATAGGTAAAGTCCACACTTAACCCCTTCGGTATTCTCGACTTCCATCCCTGCTTGGAAAGCTCGCGCCATAGCTGCTTGAATGTTTTTTCGTACGGGCCGTTCATTGTGGGGAGAACGGATTGTGCGGGACGAGAGTAATGTGTGGTGGTCTGTGAATCAAAACGGCTCATTACAGAATTTTCAAACCTCCATGAATTTTATATTGTCTTTTCTATGATGCCAGTGAAATCCCCGTCTATCTTCGCTGCGAAGATCTTCAATGATAAAGTCGCATACAAAAAGATATTATGCGGTGAATTAGGCTGATGGTAAGCTCGTTTGATATAAGATCCGGTCCTACAGCTTATTCTGTATGATACAGAATATCGTCTTAGAAGGTTAAGCTGGTAAAAAAAACGGAAGCACTAAAGTCTAGGATTCCAACAATATAATTTGTTTAGATTTATAAAAAGGATTATGTCCAGGATCGGTAATTTATTCAAAAATATCTTTCACGGAGTGGAAGTCCCATTTTTAAAAGCGACGCGTGATCGGGAGTCGACGTCGAGGACGCCTGGAAGCATTCGCGATGGGGCGCACGCAGGCTACGACAAGCTCGGCGCTGACAGCATCGCGCGACGCACGCGCAAGAGCCGACAGGCATCCCGCGAGGGCCATGCTGCACCAGTCAACGCAGATGAAAGAAATGATGCGGCAAACGGTGACGAAGAAGACCCAGAAAACCAAAGTGGCAGCGACCAAGAGGGCGGCGACGACGCAAATAATAGTGACGACAATGCTGCCGGTGAGATGGGTGTCGAGGAAGTGGGGGGAGGGGGCCAGTGAAGTGGAGGAGGCGGTTGGTGAAGTGGAGTAAAATGAGGAGGCCGTGGATGAAGCTGGTGATGCGCGCGACGCTAAAGCTGTTGATGATGAGGACATGGCCTCGGACAGTGATTCAGCCTAGGATTCAGCCCAGATTTCAGCTTGCTCGGGGGGATTTAGTGTTGATTCGAATCAAGTGGTTGTGGTGGCTCCAACTACGTGGCACACAGATTGGGCAGCATGGCAGAAGTATTTTGACAATTACTGCGAACAGACGATGCAAGTGATATCCGTTTTGGGGACCACGGGGCGTGCAGAGCGCAACAGACGTTTAATGAAGACCAAGAAAGGGATCGCCGACTCGGGTTTTGTTCCAGAGGGTCTAGATCCGTATCAGCGTACATACATCTGCATGCACGGATGATCGCAGAGAAAAGCGAGACGGAAAACGGATTGTCCATTTCGGTTTGAGGTCCAGTGGCAGAACTGCCAAGGAGTTTGGTAGCTGGGGGTGAAACTGGGCAGGTTCTATCACAACCATAGCGTATCGAGAGAGACGTATGCTTCGTATCCATGTGCGCGCGGCGTATCGGATGTTGTGGTTGCAGCGCGTGTGGAAGAAATGTTTGCCGTTGGAGCGAAACGCTCCAAAATTTACGACAACTTGCTGGAGCACGATCAGAACGTGATTAAAGCTGATGTGGACAGTATGGTGCAAGATTTTGCGTCGTCAGTGTCGTCGCTGGACGAAAACAACGCTACTGATGCTGAAGTTGGAGATTTGGCCGCTGACCCAGTGAATTGTACGAGCATCGCTGAAACTGAGAACGGGGAGACCAGGGGTGATTTCGTTGTGTACAGCGCTCATGCGTCAGATGTTCAGCCACTTTGGAGAAGTCCTGTTGGTCGACAGTACGCACAAAACTAACAGGTAAGTTATGTGCTTGTCCAGGATTTATATATGATTTCAACAGGATTAATGCATTATGGTGCTGTGTGTGCAGATACAGCTACCAGCTTTAAACGTTTATGATAGTAGATGATTTTAGAGAAGGTGTAGTCGTGCAGTATTCCCTTTTAGAAGCAAATGAAGACTGGCATATGGACCGAGCAATTGCTCATTTTAAAAAAGCACATCCTGACGGTCTCAATTTGTTGCGAGTGATTGTGGCTAACAAGGATCTGAATGAAGCTCGGGTATTGCAGTCACATTTTCCAGAAGCTCGTGTTTTGATTTGTCACTTCCACGTGATAAAATACTTGAAGGAGAAACGTTCGAAGCCAGAAATCGGGAAATTTTCTGCTGACGATGCTTTTCAAGTTGATGCAGCGGTACACAAGCTTGTGTATGCGTCTTGTCAAGACGAATATGACACAGCACGAGCCTTGCTTCGCAAAATTTGCTCGATAATTGGAATTAGTGGATTTTGTGAGTACTTAACTCGTAACTGGGATTCGTATCAAAAAAGATGGGTCATGCATTTGAGAGCAAAGCTGCCGTACTCTCGTAATCGTACAAATAACCGACTTAAGAGATTTTTTGGACAGCTGAAGGATGTGATCAACAGTAGTATGAGCATGGCGCAGTGTGTGGAGGCCTTAGTTTCGGGCGGCCGGCGGGTGGAGAAGGAGTACAAGTACCGTTTGACTCGGATCAGGCGGTTTGTGAATACAATCTACGATGAAGAAATGGCGAACGTTACGATTCACTACACACTACGTCGCTGAGCAGATCGAGCCAGAGTATGCTGCCGCATTGTCTAAGGCTGATAGCTACAAGTACGAGGTAGAATCTGAAGATACCGAAATCGTTTTGGTGTTTGGAGCAAACAGATCGCATCGAGCTCGCTTGGCTGATTGGCGATGCAACTGTGACTTCGCTTCATCCTTCCGACTCTCGTGCCGTCACGCAATCGCATATCGAAATCACGTCGGCGTCGCCGCACCAAGTATACATGGAGCTGTATTGATGAAAGGTTTGTCGTGATAGATTATTACAGAATAGTTGCAGGATTATAACAGGATTTGTATATGATTGTAGATGGACAAGCCCAATAACGACGCTGCAACCAGTGCGTCAGCTTCAGTACAAGGTGTTCGATGAAGATGCATCCGTTTCCAAACGTAAAAATTCTCGTACACACGCAAGAACGTTATAAGGAGGCAGCTTGAACTACATATTTGATTGCGTCTGAACTTGCAGATCTTAGTGACGAAAAGGAATTCGAAGCGATGCTAATTAATAGTTTCGTTCTCCAGCAGTGGAGAAACGTTAGGCAAAATCAGCAGGTGTCTTCTGAGGATACAGCTCACAAACGAGAACAAGAAAAGGCCACAGAGGCGAAGGATAGTGGTAACGAGAGTCTTGAAACAAGCGACCGAAGCTCAATTGAGTGTCCCGATACAAACAATGCAAGCTCCGAAACGCAAACCTCTTCTACTCAAGTTAAGGTGCGCATGAACGCAAAGGCGCGCAAAGTGGGACGTCCGCAGAGCCAGCGTAAGATTACGGCAGCCAGCGAGAGATCTGATCGATAGTGGTTCAAGGTAGCTGAAAAAAAAGGGCGAGCTACAGCTGGAGTGGATGCACTAGAAGACCTAACTAATTCTCTGAAAGCTGAGCAACCCCGTCTAGTGGAAACGCAGCGCCGGCTGTCGGGTGTGCTAGCGAAATATGCACACGCCGCCGACCAGCGACCTCTGTTTCGGAAGATGCGAAATCCTGTATTAATCCTGGATCCATTCTATATCATCCCGTCCAAGCTCCTGAACCACTGCATGTGAGTTCTTCTAGTTTCCAATACGAGTCTGAATCCCGTGGGTGTGTAACCCATTGTGGACGACTCCGTGGCATCGTCCAGTCCCGTCGTAGAGGTGGTCCAGATCAACAATGTGGGGTCGTTTTCGAGAGAACAGACCCAGGTGATGAAACGAGTTGATATTTTGAAGCAAATGGTGCAGCTTAGTATCGACACACACACAAGGGGTCAATCGAGGAAGCTCTCCCTGCACTTAACGCGGAGTATCATGATGAGGCGAGACAGGTTACAAACCAAATTTGGAGCACGCATCCAATGTCGCCTATTGCAGAGCTTGATAAAGCGCAAAAATTTGTGTACTCGATGCTCGATGCTGTACCGTGTCATACCACCCTCCTAGCAGACCGACGCATCCATTTGAGGGTTATGGGCAAGCCTCACTCCCGATTTCCCGACCTGTAGGTTTTCTGGCGTACAAGAAGCAACTACCAAGTCGGTTCGGGCCAAAGATAACGAAGAAGTGGTTACGAAGAAAGTCATGGATCGTATTACTGCGCAAATTAACGAGTTGGATGTGGATACGATGTTGCTGCCGCTGAATTTTGGCAACGCTCACTGATGTTGCGTTGTGGTGAAAGTTGGGGCTAAGAGGAACTTTTACTACGACCCTTTGAACCAGAAGTCCTACATGCGTGCAGCAAAAGGAGTGGCGACGTATCTAAAGTACAATGGACTTAATGACTTTGCTGTGGTGCCGCATAACAATCTCATTCAGTTTGTCCAGTTTAGCTGTGGGGTTTTCGTCTGCTGGATGTTCCTGCGCCAGGTTGTTCCTGGGCTAACTCATGACATGCGCGACACCGCTCTCATCAAGCGTCGTTTCGAATTATTCTACTATATCTTCTCTGGACGTCTAGTTGTGCCAACTAGACACGCGTCCACATCTACTCAACCCCGACCACTAATCCAGACGACAAAGAAAAAGCTCCTGCTCACGTGAATCAAGACCCCGAAAACGAAGACAGCCCTCCCACCCAAGTTACAGCAAGTGTATGAGCAGACAGACTTACAAGAAGCACAGTTAAGCTTGGAGCAATGATAACCTTGATAAATACATCACTTTTACTTACTCTTCAGCTTATCTTGTGGTCTTGCGCTCTACATGAACCTTGAACAGATATCGTTGTGAAAGTGCCAGCAGTACCATTACTTGCAGCGTACATGCAACGGACGCCGTGGAGCTTGCAGATTTGCCGATGAGTCAGTCCTGGAATAATCTTGTGAGCAAACCACAGCCGCACGTTGCTTCAAACGTATCTTGCGAAAGATGATATCACAATAGACAGGTTTAGTAATTCTTATTTGATAATCGGAACATACTATATCTTCTCTGGACGTCTAGTTGTGCGAACTAGACACGCGTCCACATCTACTCAAACCCCGACCACTAATCCAGACGACAAAGAAAAAGCTCCTGCTCACGTGAATCAAGACCCCGAAAACGAAGACAGCCCTCCCACCCAAGTTACAGCAAGTGTATGAGCAGACAGACCTACAAGAAGCACAGTTAAGCTTGGAGCAATGATAACCTTGATAAATACATCACTTTTACTTACTCTTCAGCTTATCTTGTGGTCTTGCGCTCTACATGAACCTTGAACAGATATCGTTGTGAAAGTGCCAGCAGTACCACTACTTGCAGCGTACATGCAACGGACGCCGTGGAGCTTGCAGATTTGCCGATGAGTCAGTCCTGGAATAATCTTGTGAGCAAACCACAGCCGCACGTTGCTTCAAAACGTATCTTGCAAAAGATAATATCACAATAGACAGGTTTAATAATTCTTATTCGATACAGTATAACGTAATATAATTCTGGACTCCATTTCCCGCCAAAAAAAACGTTCCGGCTGGAATTCTTTTTATTACAACTCATCAAGAAGTCTTCAAAAAGACACTTTGACGACAACATCAAAACCAATGTACTGCTTACTGTCGCAGTCCACCTCCCATGCCACCGAAACCGCCGCTCCAGCCTTTTCCGCTACCGTAGTGTTTGCCTTTCGAGCCGGAAGTCCACGCTATGGTGGACGAGTTGTCATAAGACCACAAGTCTACACTGCTAGTGGTCGCAGTGGATCCGGTCGAAGTCCACAAATTACCGCCAGTAGTTGACGTTTTGGTTGTAGCCGAAGGCGTTGTGGCCGTAGCCGACGAGGACACATCGGGCGTACTGGAGGACACAGTCGTGGACGTCCCCGCTTCGTTAGCGGTGGTGGATGATGTCGATGCAGTAGTCGAGACGAACGAGTTGTCCCCGCTCACCGGTCCCGTGAGGGACACGCAGTCCTTGTAGACTTGCCACACCATGTCACTGTCCACACCCTGGAAGGCCAACCAGTAGAACCTCAACATGCAACCACTCGTCGAGCACAACGAGTAGTCCACGGGTGTGAACACTGACTTGGTGTCCTGGGTGCCGTCCCCGTATGCAGTCGTCATTGGACAGCACCATGGTGTCATCCAGCCAGATCTCACAGGGACCATGCCACGGGAGAAGGTCGCGTCACCCGTGGTAGGTGGGTCCTTTGCAGTCGCGTCCGGGTCGGTATAACCACAGTCAGCACCGTACAGATCCGTGTCGCTGTCGAGCAGCGTTCGGATGTCGCTGTAGCCGTTCGACGATTTTAACGTCGTGTAGAGCGAAGTGAGGCAATCGCTATCGTCGCTGCTGCAGCTGTCTCAGTCGCCCGACCACTGCGGCTCGATCTGCATGATCCAGGCCGAGGTGACCGAGTTCGTGAACTCGGCCAAAGGGATGTACATGTAGCCGTGTGCGTTCGCATTATGGACGACGACAGCTAAGGCGAAGACTGCGGAGAAGATCGTGTTGCTAGACACCATGGAAGACGACAAGCTAAGACGCTCGAACTCAAGACGTCGAGGAAAATTCACAAATGAGGATATAGTCAAGCCTTCCCAGTAACTCCCAGACGGCATCACTTTGATACCTAGTTTACAGCATTACAGCACGCCCCGATTATCTTTACCAAGATGGACATGGAGTGCGATGCCGATCACTGAGAAATCCTCAAAACTAAGTGAGTTTTGACTCTTTGAATCTCGTTCGATGGAGACCGCCGAACAGTGCAGACGTAGATACCAAGGATCTATGAGATGGTCACTTTTATTGAAGCCGTGATCGCATTCCCACATCTGCTTGCCTCAGGGTTTTACATGTAGTTAACTACTACTACTACTACTTCGAAGTAGTAGTACCCTGCATGAGTCATGAAGCGTGACCCACTGAAACGCCTTTACCGAAACGGCAATTGTATCCGTTGACCGGTGTTGGATCATTTTCATCACTGTCGCTATGGTAGAAAAAAAAAACTCGCGCAACCATTTATTAGTCTTTGACAATAGCCTACTCCATCCGTTTCACTCTCTTGTTGCTCCGTGGGCTACCGCAGGTCCAGGACTCGTCTCTTCGATTCGACATCTTCAGCGGTTCTAAGTTCTCTCCATCCTCCTCTTCTTCCGGCTCAGCCTCACTGGGTCGCTTCTCGCCAGCTTTAGTCGGCATTTCTTCGGCTACTTGGTCGGGTTCTTGTCAACGAGCCATTCGTGGTCGCAGACCTGGTCCGCTGTGGGTCTTTGGAGCGGATCAACACGAAGCATCCAGTCCAACAGCGCTCGCAGCTCACAAGGCAGTCGACTCTCCTGCCCCCAGACCCGGAAGAGGTCACGAACGGATCCACCAGGCGTCGATAATAGACGAAACCGAGCGTCTGCGCCGCTGGCTTTCTCGAACGGAGGGATTTTCGTCACCAGAATAAATAATATCACTCCAAGAGACCATATATCCGCTTGTAGTCCATTGAAGCAGCTTCGGTCGTTGGGATCGCACTTACATCCGTTCGACAAGGCGAACGCGAGAAAA